TCACAGCTCACAGCAACCTCAAACTCTTGGGCTTAAATGATTCTCTTGCCTTAGCCTCCCAAGTAGCTGGAACTACACGTGCAGGCCACAACGCCCAGCTTTTTTGTTGCTGTTGTCACTGAGGCTTAGCAGGCCCTGGCTGGGTTTGAACCCACTAACTCCAGCACATGTGGCTGGCACCCTAACCACTGAGCCCGGGCACCAAGCCTCTTGCCTGTTTTCCTATTTTTAGTAGACACAGGTGTCTTGCTTTTTTGTTCAGGCTGGTCTCAAACTTGTTGAACTCAAGCTATCCACCAGCCTCAGCCTCCCAGAGTGTTAGGATTACAGGCATGAGCCAGTGTGCCCAGCCTTATTCCAATAATTTCTATTGAGTAGCTCCTAACCCAGAGCCTGTAGCAGTAAACAAACAGGCACAAGCCCTTGCTCTCTTAGAGTTGACACTCAAGGCTGTAGATCCTCAGTGCTGGGGGCTTGCTCTTGTCAGGGTGGTCAGGGAAGATCCCTCTGAGAAGATGGCATTTGGGCTAAGGCCTGAGTGGCAGAATAGAGGCCAGCACACAAGATTTAGGTGAGGAAGAGCCCAGGGAAAGGAAAGCACAAGTACAAAAGCCTGAATCAGGAAGGAGTTTGAGGAGTTTCAATAGCAAGCCAGGGTGGGTGGACCCAGAAAGACAGAGGTGATGGGCTGAAGAGGAAGGTGGTGACAGATTAGATAGGGTCTTATGGGCCAGCATGATAATTTTGTCCTTTACTCTGAGATGAAGCAGGGGAGGGACATGACTCAGGCACTCACAGGTCCCTCTGGCTGTATATGTGTGGAGGGGCAAGGGAGCCAAAGAGGCTTCTGCAACTACCGAAGTGGGAGATAACAATGGACCGAACCAGGACTGGGCCAGGGAGGAGAAAGCAATGGGCAGATTCTGGAAACATCCCAAAGGTGGGGCTGCCAGGTTTACTACTGAACTAGATGTGGATAAGAGAAAAACATTAAGTGTGACCTGAAGGGTTATACCCCAAGCAGCTGAGAAACTGTCTGAAAACCCAAGGGAAGAGTGGGTTTAAGAAAATGCAGAGAGTATCAAGTTGGCTTCCCTGTGTTTGAGATGCCCCCTATACCCCTACCTGGAACTATAGAGGGGGCAGCTGCACGAAGAGCTGGGGACTGAGGGGTGGGGTTGAGGCCAGTGTCAGCGTGAAGGAGCCACCGGAGGGTGATTCTGCCCTGGCTTGTCCCAGAGAAAAAGATGACTCAGCACTCTCTCAGCTCCCCTGGTGGGCCCCCCAAAACCCTCCACATGTGCTGGGGGTTGCTGGACACTACCAGCCACAGACCCTTGGATAACTCAGCACCCCCTAGCATGCCTAGCACCTCCTGAAAGTTGGGCAGGGGCACCTCCCTTGCTTACAGATTCACAAAGACCTTTGTTCTCACCATTTATTGGAGACTTTCTGCTTAGCACTGAGGGAGGGAAGAAGGAAGGAGGCACAGCCTCTTCCTTTCCTTCTTCCATCCCTAGAACCTTCAAGTCCTCAGATGTCCTGCTTCCTACTGCAGGAGTCCCCCAATGACAGAATCAGGGTCAGTGACTGATTCTGAAGCAGTAAAGAAGCAGGAAAGGTGAACTCTGGAGTCCAGGTGCCCAGGTGTAGGGCTGACATGAGGAAACCAGATGTCAGGAGGCTCAGGAAAACAGGTCCCAGGTGTCCAGGGTCCCCTGAGCTCCAGAAAGCTGTGACACCTCGCTGGCTGCTATGGATGCGTTCTCAGCCCACAGCAGGTTGGCCAGGGAACCTGGGCTTCTGGGGCTGGTTGGGGCCGATATACTGGAGAGGGGTGTGGGTGGGGGCTGTGATGCGATCGGTGCCGAGGTAGGGCTGAAGGGCAGGAGGCACAAGGACCGAGCCATCCTGGGGACAGAGTAAGCCTCAGGATATTGCCATGCCCCATCCCCTCCATCCCTGTTCTACACCCCTGGGTGGGATCCTTCAACCCCTCACCTTTTGCTGATTGTTCTCCAGAAGAGCAATGAGGAGGCGAGGGATGGCACAGGCTGTGGCGTTCACCTATGGGGAGGTGTGTTGGGAACTAGGTGCTGAGCCCTGGCAGGCCCTGGAGAGGGTTGAGGTGGGGGGCATCTATGGGTGGAGAGGCTGCAGGGGAGGACAGGGCAGCGGGGTGAGGGTGTGTGGGCCTCACCGTGTGGGCGAATTGCAGCTCCCCAGCCTCTGTCTGGAACATGATGTGGAGGCGGCGGCTTTGGAAGTCTGTGCAGTTGGAAGCACTGGTGACCTGCGGTGGGATGTGATGGGCTGAGAGGGTCAGCTATGGGGGGCAGGCCCATTTCCCACACCGTGTCCCCACCGAGGTAGGGCTTACCTCTCCAAAGCAGTCACGGCCTGGCATCCAGGCCTCAATGTCGAACTTGCGGTAGGCAGGAAGGCCCAGCTCCTGGGTGGGCATATCCAGCACCCTGTAGGCAAGGACAAAGGCATGGCGAAGGTCAGAGGGTGAGAGGGGAAGGAGGAGGAGCAGGAGGAAAAGGAAAAGGAGGAAGGTATGTGTGTGGGGAAGAAATGCAAGTGATGGAACAGAAGGTCGCCAAATGAAGAGGAAAATGGCAGTAAAAAGGGAGGAGGTGATAATGGAAAGGGAAGAGGTGAAGTGGGCTGTGATGGAGAAGGTGGTACCAGGAGAAGGAGGCATGAGAGACTAATGGGAAGGGGGAAAGGCTGGTGGCAGGGTCTACAGCTGTTCACAACCACAACAGCCATTCTCAACCATAACAGTACCTCCTGTTTTTTTGTATGTGTTCTAACAAAACTTTACAAAAACAGGCTGTGACCTGCCATACTTTGTGGATCTATCTCCCTTTTGGGTGCTTGACATTAATTTGTGACATCTCCCATTTTTTTTTGCAATAAAGAAGCCCATATTGGCTTGGCACCTATGGCTCAAGTGGCTAAGGCGCCAGCCCCATATACCTAAGCTGACAGGTTCAAATCCAGCCTGGGCCCCCCAAACAATGATGGCTGCAACCAAAAATTAGCCAGGTGTTGTGGTAGGTGCCCATAGTCCCAGCTACTTGGGAGGTGCAGCCAGGAGACTCCCTTGAGCCCAGGAGTTGGAGGTTGATGTGAGCTGTGATGCCACAGCACTGTACCCAGGGCGATAGATTGAAGCTCTGTCTCAAAAAAAAAAAAAAGAAGCCCATATTTCTTGGCCTCTCTTGAGAGCTACGCGTGACTAACATGATTAGCAGGGTAAGGCAGAGCTTTCAAGGTCTGGGCCCTCCCTCCCTGCCTGCCCCTGTGTGCTGGACCCTACAGATGAGGCGGCGCCCTGGGGATGGGAGCAGTGGGAGAGACGGGGCCTGGGCCTTCACACTGGAGCAGCTGGGCTGCTTATGTGTCTGTTAGAATCCTCTAAAGGCTGACAGATACACAGAGATTCCCTATAGTCACTCCACTAACCTTCATACAGGAAAGAAGGGAAAGAGGAGCAGGTGATAAGGTTGATCTAGGTGGGGAGCACCTTGCCAGCCCCTCGTTTCCCCCACCCCCAGCCTCTGCTATCCACTCCGGCCCCCCTCCGCACCGGAAGTGCAAGCCCAGCTCTGTCAAGATCTCCATCTGAAGGGACAGGAATTCCTCCAGCAGCTGTGAGCTCTGCTCCAGACCAGGGCCTGTCACCCCAAACATCTCCACCTGGACAAGGCAGGGACACAGGAGTCAGCGGGCTCTGAGCTTCAGGGTGACCCACTGAACAGTCCCAGCTACACGGACCTTGGTGAAGTGGTGTACTCGATACAGCCCCCATGGCTCCTTCCCTGTGTCTGTCTCTGCCCGGTAGCAGGTGCTGGAACAAACCATCCTGGTGGAGATTAGGCAAGATCAGGCCAGGGAGGGAAAAGTGAATGTCACAGTAGGGAAAAGGTCTAAGGAAATTGGGTGTCACCTGATTGGCAGGTCCCTGAAGGCTACAGAGTGATCCATGAAGTAGCCTAGAACAGAAGGAGGCAACAGAGGTCACCAGGGCTGCCATAGCCTGTGGGAAGCCTCTGTGAGAATAGAAAAGGTATTCCCTCTGGCGGATGTAGCTCCGTATTAGGACATGTGGCTGGACTGTCACTGTACTGTCGTACAATAAGCAATCTGCACTACTGTATGTGTTGGCCTGGGGTTGCTGAGTCATCCCGCCAGGAAGCCACTCCCTCTCCCAAGATGTTCCCAGTTATCCCCCCATAATCCCTCCTGCCCTTCACCCCATGCCAGTCCAATAGGTGCTCACCTGCGAGGCCCACCTCTGCCGTCCCAGCCAGGTTGAGGTCTTCAAAGCGGGATGGGTCAATGTTGTAAATTTGGGATGGGTTGGCATTTGGTGTCATCCCACAGCCTTCCTGGGGAAGGAAGCCAGGCCACAAGGTCAGGCCAATCACCCCGACTTCCCTGTTATGGCCTGACCCTCTCAGCCCAGTGTCCCTAGGGGAGGCAGTATCTCCCTGCCTTGCCACCCAGGATAGGGCCTGACACCCAGATGGACTCAGGGCAGGGAGGGCCCATACTCACAAACACGGCTCCTCGGAGGAGGTCTGGTACCGTCATGGGGGTGAAGCCCTGTGAGGGGACAGGATGAGTAAGGAGCATAGCTAGGAACGCCCCACCAGATCCCAGCTCAGGCCTGAAGAAGGAACACTGTATAGTGAGCCAATGGTTCCTCCTGTCACTCCAAAGCTCATCCTCCTCAGAGGAAACTGAGGAAGGCCTGAGCAGTGAGCTTAGAACTGGCCCTGGTGTCCCTGTTACTGGGGCCTCTCTGCTGAGTGTTCCAGTTTCCTCAGCTCCAATTCCTTTACTGTTTGCCCCACACGGGGAAGCTGAAAGTGTAGGTCAAAAATACAGACCTTGGGCGGTGCCTGTAGCTCAGGGGATAGGACGCTGGCCACATACACCCAGGTTGGCAGGTTCGAATCCAATCTGGGGCAACTAAACAACAGTGACAACTGCCAACAACAAAAAAACTAGCTCGCCGTTGTGGTGGGTGCCTGTAGTTCTAGATACTTGGGAGGCTGAGGCAAGAAAATCACTTGAGCCCAAGTGTTTGAGGTTGCTATGAGCTGTGACACCACAGCACTCTACTGAGGGCAACATAGTAAGACTCTGTCTTTAAAAAAAAAAAAAATAAAGATCTGACCATTCCCTCCTGCTTAAAGTCTCCCATGGCTCCCTAGTACCTTCAATAAATGACCAATGCCCCATGTAATTAGCCCCTGCCAAACTTCCTAGTTTCAATGGATACATGGTTCCCAAATGCTCCTTTTATACTGCAGGCAGATAGTGAGGTACAGTGGTTATAAGTGTAGGCTCTAAGGCCAGCTCCAGAGACCTTTGGTGAATTAACTCCCTTCTCTAGGCCTCAATTTCCCATCCCTAGTGGAGATAATAATAGCACCCATCTCAAAATTTTTTTTTTTTTTTTTTGAGACAGAGCCTCAAGCTGTCCCCCTGGGTAGCGTGCTGTGGCATTACAGCTCACAGCAACCTCCAACTCCTGGGCTCAAGCGAGTCTCCTGCCTCTGCTTCCCAAGTAGCTGGGACCACAGGTGCCCGCCACAACGCCTGGCCATTCTTTGGTTGCAGCTATCACTGTTGTTTGGCAGGTCTGGGCGGGACTCGAACCTGCCACCTTAGGTGCACGTGGCTGGCGCCTTAGCCGGTTGAGCTACAGGCGCCGAGCCCATCTCAAATTTGACACAAGAATTTGTTGTGTCTATAATGCACATATAGCTAAAGAACTGTGACTAAAACTGAGGTCACCCTATCCCCCAGTTAATGCCCTCTGAGGTCAGCTTTAATGCCATCAGCTCTAGGCAGCCCTCCCACCCTGGCCCATACCTGCTGGACAAGTTTGTTGAGTGTGAAGTTGACCAGACCGTGTTGTAGGAGGGCCCCAGCCCCACGCAGGTAATAGGAGCGGTGGCCAGATACGTGTGACAGGCGCCTGGGAGACAGACAGGCAGGCAGCAACATATGGGCCAGGGTGTGGTGGGGGAAAAAGGGATTCAAGAACCCTGAGGCAGAGGCCCAGCTGCCAGGTGAGGCTGGGGCATCAAACATTCATGGCAGGTACAGCCTTAATATTTCCATAGCCTGTGCTGAGGCCGGAGGGGTAGGAGCGGCTGCCAGCTGTCGGGGAGTGGGTGGGGGTGGGGTGGGGTGGGGGTGGGGGTGGCCAGGAGGAGTGAATGGGGAGAGGGGCTTACTTTTGACGGATGATGTCGAGTTTCTCACCAATTTCCAGGTGGCCTCGGGGTTGGAAGGAGAAAGCTGGATGTGGGTGAAAAGTAACAGGGTAAGAGGAAGATGGAGAGAGGGGGTTAGAGGAGGACAGGGAGAGAGCGAGACAGTGGGAAGGAGAAAACAGAAAAGGAGAGGGGCAGCAGGGAGAGAAAGACACAGAGAGAGAGAGGGAAACAGGAGGAGAGACAGGAGTGGGAGTGGGAAGGAGAAAGAGACAGAGTAAGATGGAGGTACAGATAGGAGTAGGAAAGAGAAAGCGAGAAATGGGAAGAGATGGGAAGGCAGTTAGAGAAGCAGAGGAAGAGAGACAGGGAAAGGAAGAGAAGGTGACACTACAAGGAAGGGAAATAGTAATCAGAGAGAGAAAGGAACACAGCTTGTTGGAAAAGCCCAAGTGGGACAGGGACTAAAGCGGGGTGTGGGGGGGTCCTAAGAGAGATGGAAGAAATATAATCACAGATAATCTCTCTCTCTTTCTCACATACCACAATGCAGGGTGAGGAGGCCCAATAAGGTATTGGAGAGACAGTAAGAACCCAACACCTGTCCCTCCCCGCCCCTTGGAGTCAGCTCCAGCCCAGCTGAGGCAGGGAGA